GTTATGCCCACTTTTCAGGAGGGAAATTGAGACTCAAAGCAGTTGAGGGACTTGCCTGAAGTCAAGCTGTTTATAATATTTCTTGATAAAAACCTTTTTCCTGATTGAGCCTTCAGGGAGGGTGGGTAGCACTTAGGTGGGGGCTGGGGAGCAAGTGTCCTTGCTGGGACACTCAGCCCAAAAGGAGCCTGAAGGGCTAACCCAATATCTGAATATAGTGAACATCTACTATGCACCAGTCCTTGTGCCAAGCCTCCTCTAGTTAAGCAACATAAAGTCCACAGTAAGCCTATGATCAGGGCAGTATCATCCCCGTTTTACAGATGAGAGAACCAAGACTCAGACAGTTCCGAACTAGATACAGTTACACATCTATGAAAGCAATTTGCTTTCAGGTGTCTGACTCCAAAGCCCCTGCTGGAAATCTTTGCCTATGGTGCAAAGAATACTCCCACAGCCTGGAGAGCCATCAAAACACCTTTGGGCTAGACCTCCTACTCCTCATTTCCCAGTAACCAGGCCATTGTGTGTGGTTGGGCAGGTTGGGCACTGCACAAGCACACTCTACAGAAAACGTGGTGCCTGGAGGCCAACCCACATGCTGTTCACCTTGGATGGCAGCACATCTGCCCAGAGGAAGGGGAGGGCACCTTTTTCTGCTTAGCCACTAGCTGTAAGAGCTAGTGGCAGCCCCACCAATGTTCTGTCCCCTGTTTGGCCCGATGGGGTAGCAGTAGTGACCAACTGTGGCGCTTCCACGGTAGCTAAAGTCCTGCTGAGAGCCTAGTGCAGCAAGTGCAGCCCTTGGGTCTATTTACACTCCAGGGAAGAAGGATGAGTATTTGTTAGTTTTTAGGGGAGTGTTGCGTAGTCTGTGCAGAACCGTGTTGCCTCAGTCTGGAGGGGAGAGTCATATACAGATTTATTACCCTGTGACTGCGAATGGCTTTGATGTGGCCAGAACAGATCTTGGAGCTTTTTCAACAGCAGATAAGGAGTCCTTAATATATGAGTTTGCTCATTCCCGGTGCCCTGCCCCTAGGTCATTACTAGTCTTCAATTTTGCCACGCCACCCTTGCAGTCCTTACACACTGGGGAGGTTTGAGAGTCACGTGGTTCATGAGGCTGCCAAGAACCTGGTCCACCATGGCTGCCATTTAGCAAGAACCTACTCTGTGCTAAGCCCTAATGTTTCTGATGGGAAATAAATAATGATTGAGCACTTCCTGTGCTTACCAGACATGTCTAAGCCCTTTACCTGGTTTAACTCATCTAATCGTCCCAACGGTCCAGTGATACAAGCACTGTTATTACCATTTTACAAATTGGTGGTGGTGATGGTGATGGTGATTTTAACTCATCTAATCGTCCCAACGGTCCAGTGATACAAGCACTGTTATTACCATTTTACAAATGAGATACCCTTGGCACAGAGAGGTTGAGTAACTTGGGTAGAATCACACAGCTCAGATAGGGCAGAGTTAGAATTCAAATCTAGGCAATCTGAGTCCCAAGACAGCACTCTTAACCACAGCTTCTCAACATACATTGTAAATAATTCTCACTCATTATCCTGTTTAATCCTGTAAGGTTTATTAGGCCTGGTTTATAACTGAGGAAACTTAGGCTCAGAGAGGCAAAGAGCCTTATTCAATGTCACACACGTAGCCATGACAATCCAGGATGGAAATGCAGGTCTGTCCAATTCCAGAGCTGTATGTAATACTGCCTCCAGCATCTGCTTTGACTTATGGGGAATAAGAACCAAATAAACTTTCTTTTTAGCACTCAAAACAGCAGCCTTTATCTTGGGGTTTTAGCACTAAAAACAACAGCTTTTATCTTGGCATCCCAGGAAGTACTTGAACGGAGAATTCTGTTTTCGAGGGAAATGAAGGAGCCAGGTCCTCTCACCCCGCCAACCCAACATTTTCTTATTAAAAAAAAAAATGCCAGCCCTCTACAAAAGTCGAAAGAATCATGCAGTGAACACCCATGTGCTCATTCCACAGGTTTGACATTTGTCCGCTTTCTGCTATATTCACTTTGTCATGCCTTCTCCGTCTCTCCCTCCCTCCATCCTTCCTATTTTTTGATGCATTTCAAAGCGAGTTGCAAACATCGTTGCACTTCAGTATGTTTACCCTGCATTTTAATTCAATATTTGCTTTGTGATTTTTCAAAGTAACATTTCCATAGAGTGAAATGCACCGATTTCAAGTGTGCTGACCAATGACACCCGGGTAATCCGCACGCCTATCAACATACGCAACGTAACCACACTCTAGAAAGTCCCATGTCTGGGTCCCTTTTGCAGTATAGGCCCATGAAAACCCTTCCCAGATGCCTACTTGGCTTTGACGCTGATGAACCTTGGTTTATTGGCTCCCGAATCTGCTGTCCTCCAAACAAACAGATTACACATGGCAGGAGAAGAGGGCGGAGCCTCTGGCTAGTAGCGACGCTACTGACAGCCTCGATCGACTGGCACTTCCAGTGTGAGTCTTATGCGAATACTCCACATTCGATCTCGAATGTAACCCTCCTAACAACTTCAGGCCGTCAGCACTGCTTGCTAGTTCCATTTTACAGGTGAGGAAACTGAGGCTCAGACAGATCATTTTTGTCGAGGTCACCCAGCAGATAAGTGGCAGAACTGGAATTTAAATCTAGGACTTCAACCTTCTCCCTCAAAGGGCTGTCGCGAGAACTCAGGTAGGCTCCAAGTAAGGATGCAGTAAGTGGCGGCTAGTGCAGAACAGGAAAGACCCTGGTGAGATCTCAGAAAGGAATTATACACGAGGAGAGTGGAGCGAGCCGCTGCTGCCGAGTGGTCCCGGGAGGCGGGCTTGTTTGCTGGATTCTGCACAGGGATCACTGGGGACCTCAGTGAGACCCGATCCCAGGTACAGCGTGGAGGCCAGAGTCCACGGACTGAGGGATGTGGGCAGCTCTGTGGGAAGCGAGGCTGTCACAAGGGCAAGGAGAGATGGGGGCCGCTGGAGGGGGATCTTTCTAAATGCCGGAGCTGTTTGTTCACGTTCACACGTGAGCGTGACTGAGCCAGCTGAGAGAGAGGATAAAAGGGACGCGTGGGGGCAAGGAGCTCGGGGAGGAGGGAGGAAAGTGCCCCCACATGCGCGGGCAGGGGATGGGTGGGCTTCCCCAGGAGTGGGAGGGAAGGAGGTGAGAGCCAGGGGAGCCAGGGGAAGCGAGGGAGGTTTGCCCACCTTCCCTGTGACGGCGACTAAGGATGGAGGTCACCTGCCCAGAGGGAAGAAGCCAGGAATGAGACCTGGGGCCTCCAGGCCTGGATCTGGGATTCTCCCCTCTTCCTTCTTCTTCCAGAGTCCCCTACGCTGGGCTTTCCCTCAGCTTCGCTCTCTGCTGGGGAACCAAAAGAAACCCCTGTGCTTCCTTAGCTCCGGTAGGGCTGGCAAGTGGGAGGGGTCGGGGCGTGCATTTTCCTTCAACTCTGGCAACAGTGGCATCCTGAGCTGTCTGAAAAGCCGGGGAATCCCAAATCTCACAATGGTACTCGCCACCCCACCAATCCATTTTACAGATGAGAAAACTGAAGTCCAGGGAAAAATACATCTACCCGCTTGGAGCACTTTAGAGTGTTAACATGGCACATGCATTATTTCACGTAATCCTTACAAGAGCCCTGCAAAGTCGCGATTATTGTCATCCACCCCTCCACCCATCTACCTATTCGTCCATCCATCCAAGACGTATTTATTAGGCACCTGCTGTATGCCAGATATTGCGGAAAGTGCCGGGAAATCAGCAAAGCGCAGTACGGGCAGGGTTTTGACTAAACAACTAATTGCAACAAATAATTGTTGGAATTGCAATAGTGACAAGCGCTATGAAGAAGATGGACATAGTAGCACACAAATGATAGCCCAGGGAGGGAGGGAGGACGCATTCGGCACAGAGCCGAAGAATAAGAAGCAAAGGCAAGCGGGGGGCCGTGGCACGGGAACCCACGCAGGTGCCAGGTCAGGAAGGAGCAGCGTGCAGGGAGTGAAGAGAGTCCAGGTGCTGGCGGCTGGCGGGTGGGACGAAATGAGCCTGGGATGGGCAAAGGGCCAGCCCTGCGGGCTGCAAGGCCAAGCCAGGTAGCTCACACTGGATCCCATGTAGGTGGACACCACTGAGGGTTTTCATCTGGAGGGGAGGGTCAGGGCGACTGGGAAAGACTCGCATTACTGCGCAGAAACCGAGGCTCAAGAGTTTTATCCTCCTAGCTGTCTTCCTACTTGAATCCCTACTATGTGCTGAGCACTGTGCCTACCCCTTCCCATGCATGATCTCATTGAACCCTCACCTCTACCCCGAAAGAAGCCATCTCCTCCGTGTTGCAGATGGGGAAACTGAGGCCCACGGAAGCTTCCATCGTGTGTGCTGAGTCACACAGCTGAGAAGTGGCAGGGGTGGGGCTCGTATCCCGGTCCGCTCTGAACAGGTTCCGTCTGCCCTGCCACCAACCCCTGTCTGTGCCCTGCCCTTTTCAGACAACCGCTGCATGGACAGAAGGTTCCTGCCAGCCAAGTCCAATCAGCTCATAGCCCTGGCCAGCTTCCCCGGGGCCGGCAACACGTGGGCTCGTCACCTCATCGAGCTGGCCACCGGCTTCTACACCGGCAGCTACTACTTTGACGGCTCCCTCTACAACAAAGGTGAGGAGACAGAGGGGCGGAGGGAGGGTGGTGCAGGAGGCTTCCTGGCCTTGGGAAGGTCCCCACAGGGAGGGCGTGGGAATACCCTTCCTGAGCACCTACTGTGTGCCACTCAGCTTGCTCAGGCACACTCATTGAGACCTACTATGTGCTTGGTGCCCTCCCTTTCTTTACACACCACAGTTCTTTTTTCTTCTTTTGAGGCAGGGTCTGACTCTGTTGCCCAGGCTGGAGTGCAGTGGCATCATCATTGCTCACTGCAGCCTCTAACTCCTGGGCTCAAGCGATCCTCCTGCCTCAGCCTCCCGAGTAGCTGGGACTACAGGTGTGCACCATCACACCCAGCTAATTTTTTTATATTTTGTAGAGATGGGGATCTTGCTATGCTGCCCAGGCTGAGCCACTGTACCCGAGCCACTATGTTTCCTCTGCTGAGCCACTGTGCCTGGCCCCACAAACATTTCTTGAGTATCACATCCTGGGTGCCTCGCCTGCACCAATTCACTAACTGACATTTATCCAGCACCTGTCGTGTGCCTGGTCCTTTTCCTCCATCTGCGTCACCACCAACATTCCTTAAGCTCCCACTGTGTGCTGGGTACCTCACCACAGATACTTACTGACCAGCACCTCTTTGCTGTCCGTAAGACGTACAATAACTATGTCCCTTTGGGGACATTTATTGAGTGTCTGCCATTCACCAGGTCCTTATCTACACTTAAGTCATCAATATTTGTTATGCAGGCTGCTTTATTTTCACTCCATTCGCAGATATTTACTGAGCACGGCAATGTCTGGAGGCACTTGCTAAGTCTGGTTTCCCAATATGCATTTATGGAGCACCGGCTGTGTGCCAGGCACCTCATGTAGGTTCACATGGCCATAGATGTTCTCTTGACCACCTAATAGGTGCCAAGAGCTGTGCCAGGTACTGCATTCTTATCTAATCCTGCACAGGAACCCTGGGAGTTAGGATAATGATGCCACTTCCCAGATATGAAAACTGAGGCTTGGGGAGGAAGAATAACTTAGCTAAAGTCACACAGTTTTTTGTTTGTGTTTTTTTTTTCCCCAATAGGCTGACTGGGGACTGCATCCTAGTCTTCCCCAGCTTCAAAGCCCACTTCCTATTACTCTGTCACACAGGCCAGAAATTCCTGTTTGTTTTTTTTTTAACTGGAAAACCATGAATGAAACTAGAAATCATGGATGAAATGCCCTTTGGGCATGACGCCCTCTCCTAGGCACGATGGGAGACATCAGGGAAGCTGGGACTCTGCCTATGAGGGGTTTCACATCTACGTGTGGAGCAGCCCTTGGCCATGGTCTTTGGGTATGCAAACCAGCTGATGGCCACTTCCTGGCTGTGTGACCTTGGGCAAGTTACTGTACCTCTCTGATCCTGTGTCATCATGCACAAATTAGAGATAACAGTATGACCTCATGAGGCTGTTGTAAAGGTTAATAAGTTGATACTTGTAATTCTCAGAACAGAGTATGTGTTCAATAAAAGTAGTCTATGAGCACTAGGGTCTGGGAGCCAGCTGGGCTGACAGACAGCTACCCTTGACCCCTAACTCAGGGAGAGCCAAGGGACTGTGTCTTTCTCAGGGTGAGAAGTGGGAGGGAAGCAGAGACTGAGGAAGAAGACAAGAAGAGTTAAGAGGACAGGTCAAAGGTTGGAGTTGGCAGAAGCGCGGGGCAGAGGATCTGCCTTAAAATTCCAGCTTTTTGCATATTTATAATACATTTTTAGTTTGGGTTGGGGCAATTATTTGTTAAGCACCTATTATGTATGAGGCTCCATGCTGAGGGTTTTGCATACTTATACCAGGATCTGAACCCAGACCTAGCTGTCCACAGAACCGAAGACCTTAACCCCTTTGTCGTGCTGCCTTTATGGGAGTTGCTGGAAGGAGCCTGGGCACATTCCAGACTCTCTCTGGCTTGTCCTGGAGCAGTGGCTGGGGGTGCCTGCCCAGAAAGCATCCCACGGCCTCTCCCACATTCCAGCCCCCCTGGATGTGGCAACAGCCCCACTCAGGCAATCCCAGAACATCACGTAGAAGGATCCCTCAGAATCCCAAGTGGTTTCCTCTCACGTGCCAATTCCAGCAAACTCCTGCTTTAGGACAATGTGTTAAGAAGGATTCTGAGGCTCGTCCTACTATTCTCTCTCAGAAACAGGCCCCAATCTAGTAGTGATGCCTATGGAAATGAAGAATGGGGAACGATGGTCTATAAGCCAAATATTTGCCATCTCTGACCCAACACAACCTCCTGACTTCAGGGAGAAGAAAATTGAATCTTAAGGTGGAGTCAGGAGATTGAACTTTCGGTGTGAAAGTTCACTCTGATACTTCAACCAGCTGTGGCAACTTAGGCAGGATTCTTCACCTCCCTGAGCTTTAATTGTTTCATCTGTCATATGGGGCTGTCAGTACTGAACTCAGAGATTTTCCAAAAATATACTAAAATAATGTTTATGAGATAATACATGTGAAGGTGTGGTGTAAAATGTTATTTTTTAAATGACATGTAACCAGGACAGTAAGCTACTTAGTCCAAGGCCAAGAGGGCTGGTCTCTGACTGTACATTAGAACCAGCCAGGGAGCTTTCAAAGAACCTCAGACCATTAACTTCAGCATCTCAGGAGTGGGCTGACTGTGGTTTCTTTTAAAAAGCTCCCCAGGGAGCTCATGCAAAGCCAGATCTGGGACCACCCCCCCAACCTCCCAGCCCTAGACTAAGAACCCAGTATTTTTACTTCGAGACCCAAAACATTCCAAAAAATTGTCTTCACCCTGTGTTGTTTATAACCTATTGTTGGGGAGTATTAATTGATCATTAATGGAGTGAGGTGTCGACTAAAATTTTAACTTGATTTAAAGAAAAAAAAAGGAAGAAAGAAAATATAAACCCTCCGCAGCAGCGATTCTCCTGCCTCCAGCTGTGTCTAGTTACTAGATGTTTCCTTAATTCCCACTGAGAAAGGCAGGGGTTTGAGGGCTGGTCGCAGGCAGCGAGGCTTTGAGTATAGCTGCCTTTTCATTAGGAGCTGACAAATACTCCCTTCGGCCTGCGCCCTCGCAGCTAACAATGAGCTCTCCCCGGGAGCCCGGGGCCGGCAGTGTCGTTCGGGCAAAGAGAAGACCCTGCTACACACAACTCCCCAGTAGCCTGAGTCAATCTGGCTAACCCCCAAGCCCCTCCCCATGTCACCTTTATAGCTGAAAGATGCTAAATGTAATGAAATCCTCCGGTAGAAACGTTCCCGGAGGAGGGGAACTTCTCTGTCCCGGTTGCCCCCCTGGGCGGGAGCTCTGCCGCCCCTTTTAGACATCAGTCTCCAGGTATAATGAGCTTTTTGGAGTTCAAGAACACACCAGAAATCTGCAAGTGCAGACCCTGGGACATCGGTCCCCGCTGTCCCCACCCTTATGCCTTGCTCATTGGCCTGGGCCCCGGCTCCTGGGGCTGCAGATCAAGCCCCTCTCTGCAGCGTCGCTGGCAGACTCAGGTGTCCCCCTTCATCCTCCTTGAACCCCGGCATTCCCCCATCATAGCCCTTCCTACTAGGAATATATTCATGTCCCTGTTAGGAAGACTGATCTCCCCGGGCACTGAGTGAGTATCTACAATGCGCCCAGCGCTGTGACAGGTGGCTTTATATTCTTTCTAGCTCAGTCTTGGGAGGGGGAGTGTGCAGAAGATGGGTAAGGCTCACGCCAAGGGAGAGGGAGGAGGGGAGTGGCACGCCGGGTGCTGGGTGAACACAACAGTTAGGTTGTAGGGTTGGGTAGGGACGGGGGGAAGGGGTGGCGGCTGGGGGGTGAGACAGGAGGAGCGGCCAGGACTGGAGATGGCGGAGCACCAGGAATGCCCTTCTGAGAGCTGGGGACACTATCCTGAGGGTGGTGGGGTGGGGCTGGGGGTGCATTATTGAGGGTGTTAGGCAGAGACAGGGTAGGGTGTGCTGAGACTTGCTCTGAACCCCCGGCCACGGCTTTGGACTGGGGGTATTTAGCAGGCTGCAGGATCATCTGGGCGAGTGACAATGGTGGGGAGAAGGGGACAGTGGGGTGGGACGTGTAGGAGGTCATTGGTGACTCTCGTGTTTCTGGGGACCTTGGCGGGTGGGTCTGGCTCGGTGGCATCTGTGCACTGAGCTGACTGAGTCCTTCAGCGCACCCTTACTCCTGCTGCTCCTTGCGGGGTTCCTGGGGGCACGCTCCCCCACCCCGAGAGCCCGATTTCCTCTCCCATCAGGAGCAGGTTCAGGCGGGTGATCTCCCAGCCCTGCTACATCTCTTATTTCCTGTCCTTCCTCTGCGTTTTCTGCAACCCGCTCTGCCCGCGCTCCGGGGGCTGGAGAAAGAGGGAGGGAGTGAGCGAGTGAGTGAACACAGGGACGTAGGGACCCTCCCCTCCCAGCCCCCCGAGGGTCCGTCCCGCCTGAGTCTGCCCTCTCTTCCCCTCACCCAGGGTGGTTCGCCTCTGCAGAGCGTGATTGATGGGCACGGGAAGGGGTCAAAATTGTCTCTTTTTTGATCATCCTGTCTCTGCGAGTCTCCCTCCGTCCTGTACGTGTCTCTGCTTCTCTGCTTCCCTCTGTCTTTGTGTCTCTCTCTGTCTCTGTCTCCCCTTCTCTGTTTCTGTCTCATTTCATTTGTATCTGTCTCTCCCCGCCCCGCCCCACGGCACCTTCCCCCTTGCTTTGTGTCGGCCCCCACTTCTGTCCTGCTCCGTCCTGCTTTCTCTTTGCCTGGGTTTCATGTCCCCCCTGTCCCCATCTCAGGAACCCGGTAGCCCTGAGTACAGGCTCGAGCTCTGTGGCCTGACAGCGGCCAGAGCGCTGACTTCTAAGGGAGGGGACACAGAAGAGGGAGGGGTGGGTTGATGTCCTGAGACCGGTATGCAGGCCTTTTCCCAGCTGCGGGGGGCCCACAGATGGGGCAGGGAATTGACGAGGTAGCCTCCCAGCCCAGCGGACACAGGACTTGAATTTCTGAGAACTGTCTCATCCCCAAAACAAATCTCATTGTCCTGTGGGACCACCAGCTTTCAGGATGTCCATGCCTGGAGCCACAGTGGGACATTCCTGCCCCAGTAAACTCCAGGGTGTGCAAAGATGTCAAGTCTCTGCCACTTCCCTGCTCTGTGCCTCAGTTTCCCTAACTGCAAAATGTATACACAGCTATAATATTGGGGGGGGCCCGAAGAGAGAAGGGGAAGCCATGTCTTGTTCTCTCCATGGCCTTGAACCCACAAGGTTGTTTCTCCAAATCCTGGGATAATCGTTCAGCCCCTCAGAGTTTGAGGGTCATGTGGGTGCCCCAAGTAAGCTGATATTTTGGTGACTCTTAAAAGTGATCAGATTTAAACATGCCACGTTTATGTCATGGAGGTGCTGGGTGCGGTGTGAAGGCAGGATGGAGAAGGGGCGCCCCTGGTGGCAGAGTTCAGCAATTCCACTCCGACCCAAACTTGCATCGCCAATTTCCTAGCAAATACCTGGTTGGGCCCTCCTTGGAGGACAGCCGAGCAATCATCATTGTTCTTCAGCCAGGCCCATCCCATGTGGCTTCTCCAAGGCTCCTCTCCAGACATAGAGCTCTTCTCTCTCTGGGAGACACATTAATCCTCCTCCTTTGTAGCACTAACCATGGCAGTGATTTGACATTTATTTGTGTCATTATTTCGTTAATCTGACTCTCAAAAACAGCAAGACCCATGAATGTTTTTTTGCAAATCATTTGAATCCTCAGCTCCCAGCACAGTGCCCAGCACATAGTAGGTGCTCAATAAATGTGTGAGTGAATAAGTGAACAAAGGAGGGTTCCTGAGGTGGCTCAGTAGCGGGTGGTGTGGAGTGGGCTCCGGCTTCCCCCAGCTCACCTGTCTGTCGTGTGCCCACCCTCTGGCTGCCGGGAAGGGTTTAAAGGCGAGCGCGACCACTGGCGCAGCGGGCGGACCATCTGCATCAAGACGCACGAAAGTGGCCAGAAGGAGATCGAGGCCTTTGATGCCGCCATCCTGCTCATCCGCAACCCCTACAAGGCCCTCATGGCCGAGTTCAACCGCAAGTATGGCGGCCACATCGGCTTTGCGGCTCACGCCCACTGGAAGGGCAAAGGTACAGCTTGGGCGGGGGAGGGGAGGGGCAGTGCCCGGGGATGGGTGGGGGCAGAGCTGTCTGGGCGGGGCAGCCTGCAGGGGGCAATGTCCCCTGCAAAGAATCCCAGAGGGCATCCTGGAGGGGGTGTCTGTCAGGCTCCATTTCCCGCCTACAGTAGAGGAGGCGTGTTTCCCACAAGCCTCACCCCCCCGTGCTCTGGGCTGTTACACAGCACAGGGGTAAAAGACATGGCTTAAGGAATTACTACTCCTCGGGTTCAAGTCCCAGCTCCACCACTTCCTGGAAAAGATCCTTAACCTCTCTGAACTTAGATTGTCCCATCTATAAAATGGGGATAACAAAATTACGGGAATTTAATAAGTTAACCCTCTTGCAATCTATATTGTTACTGGGTCTATCTCAGCATCCCCTGGTCCTCGATTCCCAGTGTCAAGAGTGAGTACTGGTACCGATTATGGAATGATCACAAATACAAAGCAATCCCGCACAAACAGTTTACCACAGAAAAGAAAGACACTATACAAAGTGAAGATAAAGAAGGAAGCCACCCAAAGTGAAAATGCGTCCCGGAGAGAGGAACGGGTCCGTCTCCACGAGAGGAGAAGGGGGTTGAGGGCTCCCGGGTGGTTTCCTTTCATTGGCCTGGTCCGGGGGAGGGCTAATAGGAGGTGCGGGATGTTACCTAACGATTATCAGGGGTTCTGTGGTTGCCCACAGTCCCTTCCCCTGATTGGTCCCCTGGCTTCTCCACCCCCCAGGAACCACCCTCCTGACCTACACCCACCACCTGCAGACTCGATCCCTACCAGACTTTGTCCTCTATATGGAATTGACTGAAGCAAGTTAAACTGGGAGGCAGGAGACCTGAATTCAGGCCCAGCGCAGTGGCTAAATGGTCGTATTGCCCTGAGGTCCCAAGAGCTCATGTACAGGGTGTCATTTCAATGAACGATCCCACCAACTCTGGGTTGGGAGGCTCAGAGAGGTTAAGTGACTTGCCCCATGTCACACAGAGGGGAAGTGGCAGCATTGATCCCCCAAGCACTGAACTTATTAAGATGATCTGGGTTTGAGATTCGGCTCTGGAACTTACCATGGGACAGAGGTGTGTGTGGATGAACATTTCAACACAGGCTAGTGGCCAGAGCGTTGAAGTCAGACCCAATTTCTGCCATCTTGAACATCCTTAACCCCTCTCAGTCTCAAAATCCCACATCAGTTCCACAGGGATCCCCATCACCATGAGAGTCACATCCAAGAAGCATTCTGGAAACAGTTAACTTCTTAAACCCCCACAATAACTGTCCCCATTTTATAGGTAGGACGACCTAAGTTCAGGGAGGTTAAGGAGCCTTTTTCCGAGGGGCAGGGGATATGGGTATAAAGTCACAGTTACACAGATGAGTAAGTTCCCAAGATCTGCTGTACAGCACAGTGCCTGTGGTTAACAATTAGATATTCTTCACTTAAACATGAGCTAAGAGAGTAGACCTCATGTTAAGTGTTTTCAGCCACACATACACACAAACAAAAAAACTGACACAAGGAATCCTCCGGAGGTGATGGGAATGTTTATTACCTGGATTGTGGTGACGATCACACGAATGCATCCACGCATCCAAACTCGCCAAATTGTGTTTATTAACTACGTGCGGTTTTTTGTGTCCCGGTTATACCTCAGCAAAGCTGGGGGAGGTGAGCTTTTCCATGAAGTGCTGGAGCTGGGATTTGAAGGCTGGGAGTCTTGGCCCTGAGCCCATGGCCTCCAGCCCTGCGGTGTGACAATGGATCAGATGGAGAATTGATGGATGCCAATCACCCAGTCCCAAGCCCCCGGCGCACAGTAGGTGCTCTGTGAACATAAGCTGGCCCCGGCTCAGGACCAGGCTGCTCCAAACCCCCAGCCTCTCCCCAGGGAGGACCAGAGCAGGACAGGGTGACGCCAACTCAGCAATTCACCAATGACATCCCCAACACTGACTTCATTGGTGACAACCTCGGGCCTGCCCCTGGGGTCCCAGTTCACTCAAGATGGCTTGTCTTCCCCCTGCCCCAGCCTCACTCCTCCTCTCAGAGAGGGGGGCGAAGCTTGCACAGGTGGTGACGTTTGTTATTCCCAGGAATAAAGAGGCCTCTGAATTATTGATTTCTAGAACAATCCAAAGTAAACATTGGTCAGCGCCAGGCAGAGACATCTGTAGGTGCAAATGGCTGTAGCCTGTCCCAGAAGCACAGACTGTGCTCGTCAAGGCTGGAGAGGGCCTGGGAGAGAACCCGACCCGGTGGGCCTCTGCCCTGGCTGTACGCGAGAGTCCAGGGGAAAACCCAGTGCCCGGGCTGCACCCCGCACAGTTCCTAGGGTGGCACCTGGACATCAGCACTTTTGGAAGCTCCCCGGCTGCTTCTGACATGCAAGCAGGGCTGAGAACCACTGAGTCTCTGTTTATTCATGGGGAAACTGAGGCTCACAAAGAGGCAGAGAGCCCCACGGTGGGTCTAGGCCTAGGACCTAGTTCTTCTGCCTGCCAGGCACCCTGTGCCCCGAGTGAACAGAGAAGGGACTGACACGGGAAGCTCATGTGGGCAGTTGGCATTTGTTATCTCGTTTAAACCCCGAAATAACCTGAGGCATAAGGAAGGCTGCAGTAATTCAGTGGCGCTCTATTGTACAGGTGACAAAACGGTCCCAGTAAAGGGCAAGTTCCTTGGCTAAGGCCCCAGGCATGGACTGAGCTGGAATTCAAATCCAGACATGAGCCACCAGGTTCTACTCTTGCCCTGAGATGTCGCTGACCCTCTGGTACATGCAGGGGTTCTCCTCTCCCAGACAGCCCCTGTCCGAGGTTCAGACATCCCCCTGATTCCCAGGAGCCGTCTCTCCTCTTTTTCCTTGTCCGAGACAGCCGGGAGCTTTAAACCAGTGCTAAGGGGGGAATCAGGACAGCTGAACCAAGAGGCTGTAGCAAGTTTAGGGGAGCAACTCATCTCATATTGGGGGCCTGGGGTCCCACATTTATCTGGGATGGGAAAAGGGGTCTCCTCCAAGCACCCCTCGAGGCCTGACCCAGGTCTTAAGGGCTCTGGCCGCCCTTCTGCTCTGCTCCCCAAGGAACGGAGCCCCCAAGTCTCCATCGGCCCATTTCTCTCATTTGCACTCCCCCTCTGGCCCCGGTGGGCACTTGAGTTCGAGACCCTTGCTTTGGGGTCCCTGAAACAGCAGCATCCGCATCACACGGGGTCTTAGAAATGCCAGTTCTCAGGCCCCACCCCAGACCTACTGAACCAGAGATTGCGGCCCCAGCAGCCTGTGCTTGAACGAGCCTTCCTGGTGCTGGTGATGTGCAGCCCAGTTTAAGCTCCACCGCTTTGAGCCCTTGCTCCCAAAGTGTGGCCTGTGGATCAGTGGCATCGACGTCACCTGGGGGACTTTTAGACAAGCACATCCCAGGCCCCCACCCAAGGCTTACTGGATCAGAATCTACATTTTAACAAGATTCTCCCAGGGGGCTTTGTGTGCACTTTAAAGTTTGGGAATTGCTGCTTTTGGATGCCCTTGGCAACAGAATATGAAGGTCATCCCATAAGAGCGGAGGTCACCCAGCTATGGAGCATGGCCACCCCACTGTCCCCTCGTTCCCTTCCCAATTACAGCTCCATCGAGGCTTCTACAATACCCACCTTTTGGTTCCATAATGTTAATTTTACAATCTCCCTGGAGTGAATCCAGAGCAAAATGTTATGTGATAGGATTACACAAGGTGAATCGTCCTGGATCCGTTTAATGAAACGGATACTGTGTTTAATGATTCCGTGGGGAATTAAGGACAGTTAAGCTATCAATCAGGCCCCAGTTCCTCCCATCGACAAGAAGATGGAGCGGAGGCTGGCCAGCCTGCGCCCCGCCAGCCACACCTGCGCGACAGTTCCGGCGGAACCAGCGCTCATTACTGATGCGCCACGCTTTATTACCCGAGTTGCAGGCAGCCATCAATTACCGGGAATCCTGAGCTAACCGAGGGCTTTCGTTCTTAATTTTTATTCTTCTTCTTTGCAATGAAGTAATTTAGGAGTTTCAAGTGAGGAAGCTTTGCCATAGCAGGGGGTGAGGTGGGCAAACACCTGCTGCTGAAACAGCTTGGCTATCTGTTGTGCTTTTAGAGTGAAGCCCAGACCAAAAGGATGGGGCACGGGCGAGTCTCAGGAGACGGGATGGGGGTTGGGGACGGCCACCAACAGCACCAGGAATAATGACAGGAACCAGCCTTTGTCGAGCACCTCCTACACCCCAGACACTATATCAGGATCTCCGCAAATCTTATTCCACTCAAACCGCACAGCAACTGAAGGAGGCAGGAGGTCTTATTAGGACCTCTGTTTTGCAAATAGGTAAACTGAGGCTCCAAGGTCACATAGCGCATGTAAGAGGAGCTGGGTTTTGAACCCCGGCAGTCATCTATGAACAGACCCTGCGTCTCAGACAACAGCCTGAAGGTGAAGTGAGCAGCAAGTAGACTAAGAGTCAGGCTTCCCAGGACCGGAAGCAAAAGACGTCTGGAGCTGATCACATCCGGTGCTCTTAACGGATTGAATGAGGTCTCGAGAGCCAAGGTCAGCTGGGATAATTGCGGGTTCGAGTTCTGCCTCGGATGCCCACTGTGTGGCCTTGGGCAAGTTGCTTCATGTCTCTGAGCCTCCTTTTTCCTGTGTCTAAAATGGGGCTAGCAGGTCCTCCTCTCCAGGCTTCTTGCAAAGTGCCCAGCGTAGCCCCGGCACCCAGTAGGTGCTCAGGCAGCGTGCATTCCCTGCCTGCTGCTCAGACGGGGAGCCTGGCGTCCCACAGAGGCTTGCAGTCAACAAGGCCACTGTGTCATCTGCATTCCCCCTGCATCCAAGGCTAGGGCACCTGGAGTTACCTGAGGGACCCCAACACCCCTTCCTTTTCCTTGAGAGCCACCCTGCGCCCTCCTTCGGCAACCGCTTGAGATGGTGAGAAGCGGCCGAGCCTCGAAGTCCGGATGTGTGCGTGTTGCTGGGTGACCCCGCCCCGTCTCCATCACCTGGGCTTCGCCCACAAGAGCGGCAGCTGTCCTGAATCACCAGGGACGCTGGGAGGTGGCTCGGGAGTGCGGGAATCCTGAAAAAGTAGAACAGACCATACACACGCTAGATTTTTCCTAATCACTCAGCTACATCTGGTCTTAACCCATTATAACAGTACGGGCCCAATTAGCCAGATACATTGTAAATAATCTATTTTAAGGATTAAAAAAAAAAGTCCCTGTCACCAGCATAAATATTTCCTAGGCAGCCGTGGTGTTCTAGGGGGGACTGGGGGAGCAGGAGTCTCAGCACAGACTCTCATGTTCTGCAAAGCGAAGGAGCCCTTTATCACATCGCAATTTGGCGGTTGGGAGTTTCAGTTTGGCTCAGCAACCATTCACTGAGCCCCTGCTGCGTGCAAGGCAGGGGGAGGAAGCGTGGGTGAGGCTCCTGGTGCCTGGGAAAGTCGGGTCCCGGAATCACACAGACCCGACCCGGACGGTGCTTCCTGGCTACGTGACCATGAACGAGTCACTTCACCTCTCCCAGCCTCAGTTTCCTCCCTGCTGATGAGTAAACAGTCATCTTTTTCCTTTCCTGGTAGCAGGAGGACTAAGTAAGAGAGTGGGTATTCATCACCCGGCAAGGGATTAGGATTTAGTTTTTAAGATCCAGCTGGACTCCCCAGCCTAGCTTGAGGGACTCCCTGACCCACAGACTCTCCCTGTTGTCCCCTCTGGGGGGATGCCGGGTGGTGTTACCCCTGTGAGAGGCAGTGGGTCTCAGTTTGGGGTTTCAGAGCACCTGCCCCGCGGTTATGCAGCTGAGGCTCAGAACCAAGGCTGTGACTCCTTTTCTCTGTCCCTGACATCCTCCACGTTCTCCTTCTGCGGGACTGTCGGCAGTGGCAGGGGCTGGCTGCCTCTCTCCTTGGTGTCCCCAAGGAATTTCCCGTGTTCCCTATAACCTGTCTTTCGAGTGGGACAATCCCAAACATACCTTCCCAGTTTGGGTGACAATCCATCCTGTCATTTCCCTGTGGCAAGGTGACAGAGGAACAGCAAAAAGAAACAGTACAGGATACTTCAAGGCAAAGCAAAGGAAGACATGTAGAACAGAAATGTGTAAAGATGATAATATAAATAATCCGACTTAAACCCTGCCCTCGGATTGGTCAGAGCGTTGGGGAGACAGGCAACACAAGTGGGGAGCTACAGCGCCATGTCATTAGTGCTGCAGGGGCACGGGGGAGGGGAGGGGGCTTCAAAGCCCAGAGGACGCACCTGCCTGAGGCTAGGGAATTGGGGAAGACACGGTCTTACCAGAGAACAGACAATAATAACAGCAATAATGATAGCCAGCATTTATTGAGCACCTACTGGGTTCAAGGCACCATGTTAACAACTTTGCATGCTTTTTCTACTTCCCCTGTATAGCAGCCCTGTTATTATCCTGCGGGGAGATGCTACCACTGCACAGGACAACTTGGGAGTTGCAGCTGGTTCAAATCCTGGCTCTGCCAGTTATTAGCTCTGTGACCTTAAGCAAGTTATTTAACCTCTCTGTGCCTCAGTTTCCTCTTCTGTTAAATGGAGATAATGATGGCACCTACCTCACATGGTTGTTGTGAGGCTTAAGTGGAATTAATAGCTCTATTAATATGCTTATTAATATATAATTATAACATATTATATATATTATAGATTAATATCAATAATATATAACATGTTATATATTATACTATAGTGACATATATTTATATATAGGGCTGTGCCTGGCACATAACAAGCACCAAACAAAAAATATTATAATTATCCCCAGACAAAGGGGAGGGCTAAGAATATTCCAGGCAGAAGCAGCACTGAGGTGTGTTTAGAGATCTAAAAGGAGTGAGTTGGGTTGTTACTCTCGATTGTCAATAGTGTCAGTTGTGTTGTGCTGTGAATCATGGCAACCACGGCCAGCACCATCTGACCCAGGTTTTGTGACCCCCCCACTACCGCCATCCTCCCTCTGACTCCATCCACGCTCCTCCCTCTGCAGAGTGGCCGGAGTTTGTGAGGAACTACGCCCCGTGGTGGGCCACTCACACGCTGGACTGGCTCAAGTTCGGCAAGAAGGTGCTGGTGGTGCACTTCGAGGACCTGAAGCAGGACCTCTTCGTCCAGCTGGGCCGGATGGTCAGCCTGCTGGGCGTGGCCGTCAGGGAGGACCGGCTGCTCTGCGTGGAGAGCCAGAAGGACGGCAACTTCAAGCGCTCCGGGCTCCGGAAGCTCGAGTACGACCCCTACACGGCGGACATGCAGAAGACCATCTCCGCCTACATCAAGATGGTGGACGCGGCCCTCAAAGGGAGGAACCTCACGGGTGTTCCCGACGACTACTACCCGAGATGATGTGCCAGCACGGGGGGAGGGAGGGCTGGGAGTCCTGACCGAGCAGGCCGTGGGGACCCCGGACCCCTGGTGACCCCCACTGACCTGTCCTCTCTTTGGTTTGGGGACCGTCCCCTTGGCTGCGGTTTGCCTTTAGTGAGTTTCCTGCATGACAAAGGAGGCTCCAGGGAAGAGATTGTCCAGGCACTTCCCCCCTTGGAGATGCAGGGCGACTGGTTTGGGGGGCAGGGTTCCAGCCACATGGACCCTTTTCTGTCCCCCGCGTCCCTGTCTCCACCACCCTGGGTTCCGCTTGTGGGAAGGAGGGCTCGTTAGTCTCACGGAGACCTGTAGAGGCCCCACCACAGTTGTTGAGGACCTTGATGCTAGAGCTCAGGGGGCTGATGTCAAAACGTGGCCTCAGACGCTTGTCCTTTCTGGCCTGAGCTTTCGTAGCTCTGTCTTGTCTCCACGCAGGACACATGGCACTGACGCTTGTCCCAGCCCACCTCCTGATTTAAAGAAAGATTTCCAGGAGGTTTCTCTATGGCCTCAGGTTTCTGACATTCTGGGTAGGATGGGGAGGCAATGGTGCTCCCCCTGGGTGAACTGGCACCACTAGGTGGGGTCGCTGGCATCGTGCGCCCACCCCCAGCCCACAGGGCTTCTGAGAAACAAGCTGGTTGCCTCTTCCCACGCTGTGTCCAGGTGGTGACCTTGGGGTCCTAGGTCCCATTTCCAGGGAACCTCAAGCACCAACAGTTAGCCCATGAGGGTGCTCACGTGCCACATGCAGAATCTGCATAAGCGTGACAGCCCCAGCAACACAACTGGCCACCATGGGGTCCAACACGTTGGTCTACACTGCCCTACGGACCGCTACCAATGGGTCCTTTGCTGCCCAGGTGAGAGAGCAAGAGTGCTCCAAATCAGGTGGAACCGTGCCCAAAATGGACCTCCACTACCTTCCCAGACCATCAGCCTCCCTTTGACATAGTCCAACATGGCCAGCTTCCTTAGGGACCCTTTAAGTGATGGGGTGAATGGGATGTGTCATCCTTTCCATACAAACACTGCTCTCTGGACGCCAACACAGCTAACCAAAGGATTTCAGAGGACCTGAGTCATTGAACATTTATCTTAAAAGGCATTGATCCAGGTTCCCATCTTGGCCCCCACCCCGAATACCAGTGGCTTCCCATCCGGCCACACCTGCACCCTCCCCCATCGTGTAGACGCAAAAGCCATAAGTCACAGCCTCTTTGCTATTCTGCCCAGGGAAGCATCCCTCTGCACCCCTCTGAAGCCGTGGGGTGCAGGTAAACACTCATCCCAAATAGCAAAGAGACTATGGAAAAGGCGAGTGTAAAGAGATATATTTTTTTAAGAGGAATATGACTAATACATTCCGCCCCTTGGAACCTGGCCATGCAGAAGGAAGGGCACAGGGACTGGACCTGCGGTTCCCTCCCCTGACTCCCTCATCTGCAGGATTCGGGGCCACCCCAGGGCCCACCCAGGGGGGCTCTGAATGTATTTTGTACCGTGTTTATCCCCACCCCCCAGCACCCCAGGCTAATTTCTAGTCGTCTTTCGCAAAGCAGTGGAGAGTTCAGCCTCCCCGCCCCCTTGGAGGTCGTCTCTCTCCGGGAGACTCTTGGTCCAAGACCTGGGCCAGTTCTTTGCCAGTGGTCGCCTCTGGCCACAAGTTTCTGTCTGAAGATTCCTCAGGTCAACACCATCATTAAATGCGAGTTTTGTTGATAATTGTACCACGTGGCAGAGTGTTGTGTCGGGCAAGTTCACAGACGGGACGTTTTCGTGGTGTGTGTGTGTGAGAGAGAGAGACAGAGACAGAGACAGAGACTGATAGAGACATGGAGAGACAAAGTGCTTGGGGTCTGGAGAGGGCTGGCGTGTAACTGCTTCTGTGTCTGTGTAACTCTCTGGTGCCCCTGTGTGTAAAAGTGTCTTGTGTCCACTTTCCTCTTTGTGGTGTGAGACTGGATCCCCCGCGTTGGCGTGACGACTGCCCCATTTTTAGCGTGTCCGTGTTGGTCCCCATGTATGCGATCGTGCACATGCCTAGCAACAAATAGTCAGTGTGTCTGAAACTCGTGCACGAGAAGCCGCCTGTCTGCTTTTGGAGGGCATGTCCTCTGCACATGCCTTTTGTCCTTGGCTATGTGGGAGGGAGGCGCCTGTGGGTAGAAGGGGTGAGTAGGGAGAGATTACTAGAGAGTCGTGCAAATGCCCCTGCTTGGGTACGTGCACGGGTGTGGAAGAGGTTGTTGGTGGGAGGTGTCGCTTCTGTGTATAGTGTATGTGTGTGTGTGTGAGACACAGAGAGAGAGACCCTGTGCTGTCTGTGCACATGCATGTGCAGCCAGAAGCCAGTGAGAGTACTGGGGGACAGAGAAGTCCCCTCTGTCCCCTGGTGGGTGGGGCAACAGTTTCCAAACCTCCGAATACCACCTGTGTTCTCTCTCCTCATGCAACTGTGGAGAGGTGTTGGTGCCCCGGGACTGTTTCCCGGCCAGAGGGAGGGACAAGGTTTTACATACTGCCACTTAGACAGTAAGGGGGAGGGGGAACTGGGACAGGCAAAGGGAGGAGAGGGTGGGGGTTCTCCCCACCCAGGGGGACAGCTCAGGAAGACCGGGAGTCCTGTGCCACTGAGGGCAGGCTCTTTCTCCTCTGGGGGTTCGTGCTGGTGCATAGCAACTATTCTGAGATGACTGAGTGAGCTCTGATCTGGGCCCCAGGCTGCACTCTGACCCCAATATTAAACCAAGTCTGACTTGGTCACAGTTTGAGCCCAATCCCAGAGCCTTGAACCTGGGCCACAGTTAAGCTCTAATCCTGATCACAGACTGAGCCCTGATCCTAGGCACATCCTGATCCATGATCCTCGTCTCACACTGATCTCTTATCCCAGCCCCACGCTGACCGAGTCACACTGGGCTGAGTCCCAAGTCCAGTCCTGCTTATACTGAGCCCTGAGCCTGGTCACTGGCTACGTTCCAATCTGGGTCATCGGCTGATTCCCGACCTGCCCCAGAACAAATGCTGACAGTGTCTCCCGACTGAGCCCTGGTCTCTGATTCTGGCCCGAGACTGAGCCTCACTCCTGGCCCTGCACAAGTCCTGACCTCGGTCACGCCGAGCCCTCCCCCGACCTCGGATCGAGCCTTCACTCGGGTCCCAGGCTGAGCCCTGAACCGATGTGCCAATTTTCTTCCACTTCTGTAAATATTATCTGTGTAACAAAGTGCTTCCAACAGGAAGCGCGGGAAGCCATGCGGCATCCAGCCCCAAGCTCTCCTGGATTCCCCTCCTCCTCGGTGTCGCAGATCCTGTGCTACATGCGACTCTATGTCCCACCCGCCACAGACCCCCGGGGGCTCGTGTGAAAGCACTTCGGGCCAGAGGTGGGGCTGGGACGGTTTAGTGACGCCTGCTTTGGTTGATCTCTGCCCTTCCCGTCACACTTCCTCAGGCTCTGGAACAAAATCTTTGTATTTCAGATCCAGAAGGAACCGAAGGCGCATTCATTCATTCATTCATTCATTTAGTCAACACTTACTGTGCATCCACCACGCACCAGGCACTGCTCTAGGTTCTAGAAATTCCAGAAAGAACGAAACAGATAAAAATCCCTGTTTCCGCAGTTTACATTTTACCAGGTACCAAGTAGATATCTGCAAGCGATCAGAACACTTTTGGGAAAATGATGGTGGGACAAAGAATTTGGAAAAGGACTTGGGTCATTCCCGACCAACCCCATGAAGTGGGTGGAGCAAAGGTCATTAATTGGCGTGGGGGGAGGACCAATGCCCAGAGACGTGCAGCAACTGGCCCGAGCCACGCAGACAAATGGCAGAGCTGCGACCACTGCCCTCTCCTCCAAGGACCTGAAAGTCCCTCCCAAGTGGAGAGAGTGACAGGGCCCTTGGACCCAAGGAGGAAGAAAAGCTCTGGATCCCAGCGGTCCCCAGTGCGGGGGCCTGGCCTGGGAGCCGGGACACCAGGGCTCTCGTCCTGCTGCTGCTTCTGGCTCACTGCGGCTCCAGGACTTGAGGAGACCAAGCCGGGTGCAGCATCTGCCAGTTGCTGGGATTTCTTCCGGATTCTCCAGTAACCCTGGGGGGGCTGCAAAGCTATCCCAATGGACAGTGGGGGAGGGGCGGCAAATGGGGGTGGGGGTGAGGGGCAGGTCCTGCGGGGACCCAGCCTCCTGCCAGAGGCCCAGCCCCCTCCCCTTCCCCTTTCTCTCTTTCACTGTTTCTCTTCTCCCCATCCCTGCCCGCTTCCTCCCTGCTCCCCATTTCCCTCTCTGTGGTCTCGCTGATGTCCCCCAGTGGCTCATTAAACCTCTTTCCCTCTTGCCTTTCTGCCTCTTTCTCTTCCCTCTCTCCCTCTCTTCCTTTCCCCCTCCCTCTCTCTCCCTCATCCCATCTTCATCTCTTTCTTGGTTTCTGGTCCTGTTTGTGCGAGTGTCTCTCCATCTCTGAGCTCTCCGTCTCTCTCTCTGGCTCCCTCCTTCCCTTCCTCCCCTCCGCTGCTGTCCTCCCCCATCTCCTCCTCTTCCTGGAGAGTGGGGGCGACTCAGTGGGATCCAGACACAGTGAGACAAATGCTACCCAGGCTGGTAACCAAGGAAGTGGTTTCCTTAGCAACAGATCTGCAGGCACGTGCTCTACTGCCCCATCCCTTAGCTATTATAGTACAGGGCAGAGAGAGAGAGAGGTGGATGGGGCGGGGGCAGCCTCGAGCCAGTAAAGACACCACTGCAGGGATTCTCGTGAGAGGGGACAGTGCTCACAGATCAGCTCAGTGCCGGGCACTTAAAAATAGGAGAGGCAGAGGGCTGTGGGGTCAGAGAGAGACGTGTACAGTGGAGGGAGCTGGGGGCAGAATCCACAGGACATGGTGGCAGACTTGCTGTGTGGAGGGGAGGTGACAAAGAGGACAAGGACAACCCCAAGGTTCTATCTGGCCTGGGCAGCTCCCGGGAGGGGGGTTCTTTGAGATGGAGGCCACAGGGCAGAGAAGCAGGGGTGGGAGAGAGAAAGGTGTTGGGTTGACTCTTGGGTTGCCCAAGAGTTCACCACCCAAGTGGGGGGTGGCATGGGGGAGGGAAGGCTTAGAGACGACACAGAAATGTGTCACTTCTCCCTTTTAAATCTCTCCCTTTTAAATCGGCAACAAGGAACATGGGAGAATAAACACAGCCCTGAGGTTGGGAGAGGCTCGGGGAAGTTAAGGAATGGACTCCGGTGACACCAAAGTTGGTGACGATGCTTGGATTCGA